AGGTTTGACTGTATTTCTCCATGATATGCCATGTTTACCTTCATACAAGTCTTTGTTGCTTCGTAGGTTTCCACGTGGAGACTGTTGTGTTTGACCAGAGCTGTTAGACTTCTTGGCTAGTACGCTAGGTTCGAGCTTCCGTCTCTGCTTCGCTTTCAAACCTCCTTTCTTTTCTGCTTGGGGTGAAATGGTGAGAGATGTATGATCTTACTGTTTGTCACAGATCACTCTATTCTTCTTTTTGTTCATTATTTCGCTCCTTCTTTTTATACTTCTCTGGCCTCTATCTTCTTCTTCTTATAGTCGTCTTCTACTTCCTTTGTTATCTTCTTCTTCGTCTTCTTCTTCTTTCTGTTAAATTTTCAAACTATTTCTGATCTTAGGCTGAAACCACATTACCCTGCATGGTAATTACCCTGTAGCCCCCCCCCCCCCCCCCTCCCCCATTTTTTATTTATGTAAAAGCAAACAGGTAAAAGTGTTTAAATCACCAAGAATTTTGGTTCAAAGAGACTATTGATAGTAGATCGTTGATTAAAACTTCTAGGCTTTGCAAACATAAAATTAAATTGTTTAACAGAGAGGTGTTGTGGTCTAGTGGATACGTCGCCGGACTGACGATCACAAGGTCCGCGGTTCAAGTCCCGCCGCCGCACTAATGTCCTTTGGCAAGGCATTGATCTACATTTGCCACACTCCACCCAAGTGAAGTAAATGGTAACTGGTAGGAATTTATTTCTTGAAATGCTAGAGCGCCGTATGGCAGCCGTGCTAAAGCCAGGGTAATAATCGGGAGCGCCAGGAGGGTCAAATCTGACTGACATGAGCGCTATTCAAGAACCCACTATTATTATTATTATTTAACAGTCTGGTACAAACAAAAAATAGCTATAATTTTCTTTATTTGATCTTCATGAACACTGAAAGGATAATAAAAGAGAAAAGGAGTAACATTACTTAGAACTATAAACCTACCTGATTTTCTGGTTGGCTTGGCTCCCTTTGGCTCGTTTACATTCGGTTCACCCCCTTTCGGTTTTCTGTGCCCAGCAATGGCGTTCGGCTTTCTCTTAACGTCTTTCGTGACGTTCTTTATGTCTGGAGAGCGATTCTTGGTGTGACCACAAGAACAAGAGCAGTTGGTGCAATGGACTGTACAGCGCGACGGTTTGATGGGATGGAGCTTGTTGCTTTTCAGCATGCACGAAGGCTCAGATTTGGAGGAAGGTTTCTGGAGTTCTAGACCTGACTTGCCAATGCACTCTAGTCCCAGACCTGTTAGATGTAGAGATGAATTATCAAAATAAATATACTTTGCAAAGGAAGGATGAATTAAGGAGTCAGGGGTGATAGTGAGCACTAAAAAAAAAGGAGGTTTCCCCTCAACCACGCCCCCCTTGAGTAAAAAAGAAAAAGAAAAAAAAAAGAGGATTCAGGGGGGGGGGAAATGGCATCCAACAACCTCCCCCCTTTTGAGTAAGAAAATTAGGGAAAATAGGGGAAAATAGGGAAGAATAGGGAAGGATAGAGAAAATAAGGGTAAACATCGGGGAAATTGAGAAAAATTGGGAAGAAAAACAAAATTGGGGGAAAAAAAATTGGGGAAAAAATAAAAAAATTGGTAAACCGATTAAAATCTGGTTTTTATCAGGCCTGAGGAGTATAAGGGTTTACTCTTGTTCATCCTCCCCCCCCCCCCCCCCATTTGAAAACATACTCTCAGGAAAACAGTTTTAATACTGAGAGAGTTAACCTGTTTAAAGAAAACAAGTTTAACCAAAACAACAACATAACCCTAGTAGTTTTGTGTGTTGCGAAAATATATTTTTTCCCTATTTTTTCCCTATTTTTTCCCTATTTTCTGGAAATGCAGACTATTTTTTCCCTATTTCCTTCAAGAAAATAGGAAAAAAATAGGGCTATTTTTTTCCTATTTTCAAGTACAAACTATTTTTTCCCTATTTTTTTCACCTATATTTTTTTTCAGACTATTTTTTTCCTATTTCCTATAAGAAAACAGGAAAAAAATAGTCCTATTTTTTTCCTATTTTCAAGCACAAACTAATTTTTCTCCATTTTTTTCACCTTCAACTTTTGTGGACTATTTTATTCCTATTTTTTTTAAAGAAAATAGGAAAAAAATAGTTCTATTTTTTCCTATTTTCGAGTACCAAACTATTTTTTCCCTATTTTTTCACCTTCATCTTTTTCAGACTATTTTTTTCCTATTTTCTCCAAAAAAATATGAAAAAAATAGGACTATTTTTTCCCTATTTTTTTCATCTTAATCTTTTTCAGACTATTTTTTCCCTATTTTTTCACCTTAATCTTTTTCAGACTATTTTTTCCTATTTTTTCACCTTTATCTTTTTCAGACTTCTTTTTACCTATTTGCGAGTACTATTTTCTTCCTATTTTTTGCACTTACATTTTTTATGACATGATACAAATTTGTAAACTATTTTTTGTCTATTTTCTAAACTTACATATTTTCATTGTTTATGACTGGCATCCTATTAAAAAAGCCCGCTTCTCCTGCCATTATCTCTGTTGTTCATTTTGCGACTTATTGGTGGTTTTTAGCTGTGGGGTCACATATTGAATAGTGAGCTCAAAGATAACCATAAATAAACAATGTGTAAAAAGAAAATGTACGAAATTTCAATTTTGTTCCTTTATTAATATTCTTGATTTTATTTACAAAACTATAGTAGTGACTAGTGCACTCAAAGATAACCATACATAAACCATGTGTAAAAGAAAATGTACACATAGAAATTTCAAAAAAAAATCTCCTTTATTAAAAGAAAAAAAAGCATTCGATCGAGATATTCCCGTTCTATGTGTGAGTAAAGTTTCAACGTAGAGGACAGTACGCAAGTACCCGGACGTAATTTGAAAATTACCCGTTTTTTTTTTCCCCACTGGCGCACTGATGTGCGCATCGGACTTTTGCTGATTTCCGTTCATCAAACGTCTCCAAATCACACCAAAATGTCTTCCAGCAATTATTCTAGCGATGAAATTTCATCAAGAGATAGTGACTCCTCATACTCCGATGCCTCCTTATCCCATTTTAGTGATTCTTCCCAAGAAAATGAGCCCGACAAATTTTCAAAATATTACTAGTCCCACTCGTAGAGAAACAAGTTTGTTGTCGAATGACGGACGATCGACGAGCGGAACTGGCACCAGAAAACAGCTGAAAAGGTACGTTTATTTCTGAAACTTAATTATATTATGATATATATATTTGTATTGTGTCTGTTGTTGAATATAATGCTACTTCATAGACATAGTAGGCTTATAGAATGTTATTTTACGGATCAATATTCCTATGTAGTGCTGAGTGAAGTGAATCCCCAAGTGCAGTGTAGTGTCTGTATAGTGAATGAGTGAATGTAAACAAACGTGATTACAATAAATCCACGTAGAAATTTCAGATTTTTTACCATTACTACGTCTGTCAATTATATTGCCTTGCATTATATAATGTTTTGATGTGGTTTTAGGCTAAATTGTATCTCAAATTATTTTTCTAGGAATCAGAAAACACAACCTGCTAAAGCACCACGGTCCACGCAAGATTAAGAAGAGCAAGTCTTCCAAGTCCGAGAGTGTGTCTGCGAGCCTTGCAAGGTATGTCCTTACTAAGTAGAAATCTAAATCTATTGTTGATAATTTGTTTGGGTATATTTATTTCATGTTTGTTAGTTAAGATCTGACATCAAAATATTAGAGTAGTTTACCTCATCATTATGCTAGAACAATAATTTGCAGGTGGCACAAGTTCTACCTAGATCTACATTATTTTTCTCTTTCCTTTTTATTCTTTTCTTCAAAAAATTGTTCCTTTACTATTTTCTTTTCTGTGTTTTATGTTTTATTTTATGTATGTTCACCCGATATATCTAAGAATAAAATAACTCTAATTAATTGCCTACCTGAGTGGTTTACATTTCATGCACCTTGACAGCTCTTTGATGACTCCGTTGTTTCACCATCCGTTCGTCGTCAGCCTGGCATCTTTTTTGCTATCATACTTTTGTACACACATGTTCTGTGCCTTTGAATTTTTCATTATGAAATACATAAATACTTGTACTAAGTATTAATTGCATGTTCATAAATGTACCAATGCATGATTATTCTAACCCCTAACTCACATTTCATTTATATCTTTACAGATCCATTGAAACTAATCAAGCTACAATGTACATGTAACGTACAACCACCATTTGATTAGATGCCTGTGAACAGCAAGACCAACATCTGTATCCTTTACATTAGTATTTGTTTCCATTTTATTATGTAATTCTTATGTCTAATCATTGAGATTCATAGGCATGTACAACATGTATGTGTACACAATGAGTGCCTGCATATTGTGAAGATAAAGGACCATAAGACCATTACTTATGATACATGGTAATGATGGTATACTTTGTAAAACTATTTGAAAATAGTAGCATGTAAGTCTTTCATTTTCTTGTTTATATATATCTCAATGACATGACATGTCATTGATTTTGTAGTAAGTGTTTCTAGATTATGATGATTGTATTAAGATTTTGACAGTTCAATTGAGATTGAGAAAATTATGTAACATGTCAACTGTACTATAAAGCATGCATGCATTGTTGAAAAATCTGTTTTAAGATTTATTTTATTTTGTTATCTTTGTAAATAACGAGAAAAAAATATTATTTGTCATGATTTTCTTGAGGTTTGAAAATGTTATTACATTATTAAGAGCACTTTGTAATATTAAATTGTAATAAAAGAGACAGAAAACAACACTCTCATGTCCAGAATACTGCTATATTTGGTTACTAGTGAGGGAGAGAGCTTGTGATCGCCTAGCATATATCCGCATCGGCTCAGTAATAGTCCTGAAACTCGCCTGAATACTTTATTTGAACAAAAATAGAAAGCTACATTCTAGGTGGATGATATTTTTTTTAAGGCGGAGGCATATAGGAGACGCAGTCGCATTGGTCTTTTTTTTTTAGTGTATAATCATAGCAAACCATGAACAACTCTATTACTACAACATGTACACTACAGTACTTAACCAAAGATTGTAAATATCTGTGGAGCCCCACAGAATACCCCCCCCCCTATTTTTTGTATATCTTTGACTATGTATGTATGACACAAGTATATTTCTAGCCCCCATATAGTCCCTCCTCTTAGTTAATTAGGTACCCCCTCCTGCGAGAGTGGCCTCACCCACAACCAACCTAAACACACCAGCTGGGATACCAGGAGTGGCTTCTCACTTTGTTTTTGCCACGCATCTCAGTCAACACCTTTCTTATTTTGTCTTCCTTTAATAGGTAAGAAAGAATCTTATATTCAATTGTGTTATATTCTTGGTGTTCATAATATGTGTATTTCTAAACTATTAGCTTCACTATTCACATATCTTGTATTACTGTGTAAAAAGGGATATTAATGATATTTGCCAATGACTTGTTGGATTATATGACATGTGGACTATGAGAGGAAATATAAGAGATGCCATGTGGGGAGAGATAATGTCATTGATGAACATAGTAATCACTTGTAGAAATGATAGGAAAGTATTATCGTGTGTGTGAGATTGATGATTATGTTGTTTGATTTAGACAACATTTTAAGTAAGTTTTGAGAAGAGAATATACTTTATTACTGTCAGTATATTTGTCTTTTGCTTACATATTCATGTGTATATATATATATATTCTTAGCCAATTAGGACATGTGCCATTACTATGCATTATGCCAAAGCACATTGTTATATATTATAGTTTGGTTAGATACAGTTTTGATAGCGAAATGAGTGGTTCAAGTCCAGATTATCTTTAACTTTCAGTATTATGGTATGAGTGAGTGTGGACGCACCATGTGTACAATACTAGTGTGTTATCGGGAAATGGCAGTGCAAGCAGTGTAAACACAACTTCTTATCAAAGTTCTTAATCCCCTCCCCCAAGCTTTGTTTGCTTTTTGACCCATGCTGGAAAATGGTATCTTAGGCGGGAATGAAAGTTTGGTAGAGTCAGCAAAATGAGAAGACAAAGGATTTGAGTTGGGGAATACACTTGTTGAGAAACACATGGTCAAATTGTCTAATAGTTAGCTAGTGATGGATTGGTTGATGGAATATTGTAGTTGAAGACTTGCATAATCACTGTCTGGAATTCATTGTATTATATTGTTAGGAATGATAATTCAGGTTAAATGTTATTGGGAATTACTCTCTCTCTCTCTCTCTCTCTCTATATATATATATATCTCCCTCTCTCTCTCCCCCCCTCTCTCTTTATATTCTCTCCCTCTCTGTCTGTCTCTGTCTCTCTCTCTCTCTGTATGGTTCACCCTTTCTCTTTCACTCTCACTTTGCTTTGTATATAACCATGAAATGAATATACATGTATTTAGTAAAACTATTGGTTGTTGTTTAGAATTAGAATATGAACTGTATGTGAAGATGAGATTATACAGTAAGAGGAAATCGTAATATTGGTTGTAAGTTTGTTAGAGCTATTAGTACAGACTGCAGACTAAGACTATTTGCCAGTGCTGTGAATATTGTAAGGAGTTTAGGATATAAGTTGTTGAAGATGTATCTTTTAAGCTCAGTAGTCTCGCTGAAAAAGATAGTATTAGATCAAAGTGATGCAGATGACTATTGGAAAATACATGAGCTATAGTTAAGGAAGAGTTATAAGTTTATTCAGTATTAATGTGAAGTCCTGAGACAAGAAGTAACTTGTGAATTTAGGGATTAGTGAAGGCTGAGAGTAGAATTACATTCTAAGGGTCTATGTGCACAAGGGATCCTCAGTCTTGGAGCGTAAAGAGTAGAAAGCTTATTAGGCAGTATTATAGGGATGATTGTGCCAACATTCTTGTATTAGGTCTATATATGTGATTTCTTGAAAGAGACGCTAAGTGAAGAGTTATATGATTAGAAGCTAAAGTAGATTGACTGATACCGCAATGTTATAGACATTTGATAAGGGTTAAGTTATTTATTAGTAGCCAAGTTATGATTATGAGATTGATAAAGAGTTGCGCTTTAAATGAAGCATGGAAGTAAGGATAGTTCCGTTTAGAGATAGTAATGTAATGAATCTTTCCCGGTTGATGTTCCTAGTGAGATAGTAAGAGAACACTGAGAGCTAATTAATTCAATGAATACGAACATGTAGATTTATTTGTGTTTAATACTTGAAGAGTATTGTTATGCCATTTGATCGTATATAAATGATTGTAAGAAAAGACTGTTATTGTAGAAGATTAAGTAATAAATGACTTTGTTTTTGCCACGCATCTCAGTCAACACCTTTCTTATTTTGTCTTCCTTTAATAGGTATGCCCCCTCCCTCGGGGTGTGGGCGCTACATATCACTTAAGTTCTTTTATTTATTTGCTTATATGAACACACATACTATACTAAACTCATGTCATTGTGTTCACCTCTCGAAAATAAAGTACATGTATTTTATTTGACACATTCCCTTTTATTCTTTTTGTGTGTTACAGTCCACTGCCATTGTAACGAGGTGCTCGGGACCAAGCCAATTTCCTTGTTAAAATGAAATCATGTTATACTCAAGTTACTGAACACATTGGTTTATTTAAAATTGGGACTGATGAGAATTGCCTGATAATAAAATCTTGGTGTACTCATGTTTGTTATAATAGGAGTGGACTGTATAACATTTTCCATATACCCATTGACTATTTTAAATGTTCTACTGAATGGATTGGACTGAAAGGATGAAGTGAATTTGGCAAACTGAGTAGGTGCATCGATGCAGAGAAAAGAGCTGTAGGAGTAGGGTGACTATTCTACAGTGGAAACTTTCGACAATGAGGTCATGTGCAACCAAGAAATCTTAACCCCCAAAAGCTGGTAAATTACCTTGTCATTTCAGGTATAACTGATCTCTTTATATCAAGTTTGCACTGTATGATTTAGTTGAATGTACAGAGTCGTTGACTGGATGTGTGAGATGGTAGTGCTTGAGAAATCCATGAAAGTAAAGGATGAGTGATCCCCCCCCCCTTTTTCCTTACTATTTTTTTCCTATTTTCTTACTATTTTCCCCTATTTTCTTACTATTTTTTTCCTATTTTCTTACTATTTTTTTCCTATTTCCTTACTATTTTTTTCCTATTTTCTTACTATTTTTTTCCTATTTCCTTACTATTTTTTTCCTATTTTCTTACTATTTTTCCCTATTTTCTTACTATTTTTTCCTATTTTCTTACTATTTTTTTCCTATTTTCTCACTATTTTTTTCCTATTTCCTCACTACTTTTCACTGTTCACTAAGCACCTAGTTATCACTATTTTTTTACTATTTTCTTCACTTTTTTCTACACTATTTTTTCCCTATTTATTTCCTATTTTCAGGTCTGAAAAATAGGAAAAAAATAGGAAAAAAATAGAAAAAATTGTTTCAAACCTATTTTTTTCCTATTACCAAAACTATTTTTTACCTATTTTTTCCTTTTAAAAAAATAGGGAAAAAATAGAAAAAAAATATATTTTCGGGACTATTTTTTCCCTGTTTTTCCCCTATTTTTTTCCTATTTTTTTACGACTGGGGAAACCCCAGAATGTAGGAAAATTTTCTTTTGTCTTTTCCAAACATGCTTCCAGCTCCTACATGGGCTTGACAAACGGCCCTCTATCTGTATCTACTTGAACATATATAGACCTATCTATCTATCATATTAAGAGCCTACAAACTGGTTTAATGCAAATACACAAATTGCCTCTACACGCATGTTTGTTTATCAAAAAACTTTTTAAAACAATAGATCTCCTTGGTGACAAACCTAATTTATAAATAATAATGAACCTTCTTCTAAATGCTGCCGATGGCCAAAATTTATTTGCTCAGTGTGTTAGAGCTTCCACATCGTTATACTATATTCAAGATATGAGATCCAAATTTTCTATACAGCTAAATGTATTGCAAATTTAAAAGCACCCTCAATTAACATAAAAAGGAACGTTATTTCATACATTCTAGCTATTCAAAAATGATTTTTTTTTTTTTTTTTTTTTTTTTTTTTTTTTTTTTTTTTTTTTTTTTTTTTTTTTTTTTTTTTTTTTTTTTTTTTTTTTTTTTTTTTTTTTTTTTTTTTTTTTTAGGTGAATTGTACACTTGGGAGACAAACAATACAAACGAAAATAATTACAATTTATGCCAAGACAAAACATAACTTCAGAACAAAGTTTGGACTTGTCCCATTAATCAAGCTTTAAACACTTTGAACACCTTAAAAATGAATGTATTAAATATCAAACTGTTACTAGAAGAGATTTGTTCTTACTGGACTTTGCTCCAAATGGATTGTAGACGATGTTCTCTGCTCCCCTGAAAGGTACTGCCGAGGATAAGTTGATCAAATTGGAGCTTGCAGACAAGAACGCCTCGGAAGACAAAGAAAACAAACAAACAAAAACAATCAAAATCTATTTAAATACAAGACATGATTTCACACCACATAGCAAAGTCTTGTCCCATTAATTAATAGAGCAAAGTGTTAAACTACATTGATTATTTGGTTCTTTTCAAATAATACCCCTTACTAAAAACAATAATAATAATTATAATAATGATGGTAATAATATTAATGATAATAATAATAATAATAACAACAGCAAGAATAATAATTAGATCAATTTACATGTATATAGTGCAGATATTATGTAGTTATACACCACTGCGCTGTAATTTAAAAAAATAACTCCTAACACTACTACTATACAAACAAACAATAAAAAAAACTATTCAAAAGCTCCTCAAGTGCTTCAATTGCATCTTCACCAAAACTTTGAAGACAGCAACAGATGAGACTTTTCTTATGTCTAGTGGTAGGTTATTCCAAAGCTTTGGAGTGGGGCAACTGAAAGGGCAATTATCTCCAAGAGTTACTTTTGTTTGTGTGTGAGGTAGCTTTAGAAGCTGCTTGATGTGATTTAAAAGATTGATATAGGCCCCAAAAATTTACCTCACACATTCAGAAAAGATTTCCTGTTTTAAACCCAGGTATTCAGGTAGCCTATTTGTAAGAATGGAATTATCATCACTCGTCAAGTTCACTTTTTAAATACCATGTGATTTAATTGGCTTTCATTTGATTTTAATATACCCTTTTCGATGAAGAGAAAGATAAAAAGCAGCACCAAGTTTACCTCTGGCATTGAGCTTCTGTAAAACGGCTTGACCGTGGACTCGGTGCCTTCGGACATCTGCTTAAAGGCCAGGCCAGGGAAGGTAAGGGGTAGGAGCGTCGCTGGCCGGCGCTTCGTGTTTTGGTTGCAGATGGATGGGATGAATTGTGCCATTTGACTGAACGAGTGCAGTCCGCCGTAAGAGGCTAGCGAGGGTGGGAGTTGAGGGTATGAGGCTGAGGCAGGTTTCCTGTAAGAAGATTATTAGGATGTTACGAGTCACTTTAACTTATTTTGCAATATAAACATTAAGGCTGGTATTCTCGAAAGCGGACTAATTCTTAGTCCATGGTTTAATCCTCCTACTAAGTATGAAATGCCAAGTGTCCATATGAATATTTTTTTGAATAATTTAATCTGTCACTAAATTAAAATGAAATGTTCTCATTAAAGAAATATTTTGTAATATAATAGTTAATTACAACAATATAACTATGGAATAATTATGTTATCATGGTAATTTAGGGACATTATTCAAAAATGTATTCATAAGGATACTTGGCATTCCATACTTAGTTGGTCGATTAAACCATGGACTAAAGTTAGTCTGCTTTCGAGAATACCACCCTCAAGCTTCAGGTACCCCCTATTTATGCATATCATTGAAACTTGTTAAGATTTTAGATTCATGCCATCGCTCCCCCCAAAAAATCATTACTACTTTTACCAGCTTTAATTCTTTGATTGTTCAAGGTAATCATTGCTAACTGCATGAAATAAGTTGATAACTGAACAAATTTGAAAAAAACCAGGTTTGGCTTGATCTGAATAGGTCGCTTTTTCGAGAGCATTGTCTTTCAAGCTCAAATTAAATTCATTTTGAAATAAATGAATATCAAAATATATTACATGAAACACAGTTCTTTTTGATAAGCTATTTGGTTAAATGATAACTGGTTCCTTCAATTAGATCTCTTCAAGCAATCTTTTGCAGACTTTAATAGTATTAAAGTAATTTAACATAAGAATGAAGGATTTTTATGGTGTACAAAATGTCTCTATTTTTCAGAACAATCCACAAAATGTACATATACTCATTAATAAAGTACTACATTATATAATCTCTTCTTCTACTTTTTTGTCTACTCTATTTAGTTGATTTTCTTCCTGCCGATTCAAATCCCACAATACAAACTCGGCATAGTTACCCTTTGGAGTCAAGGATTCTTTGCTGCCCCTGGTCCAGCGTTGCTTTACCCCTCCCCAGCTGATCATTGTCCATGATTGAGTAGCGGTCCTGTAGGTGAATGGTCTTGTATTCTACCAATGAAGGGATTGGTCGTGTTCTGTTCCGTTGTCCCATTCTGATCTCCTATATGAATGCAATGATATTGTTATTGTGATTATTTATTCGGCCATAAATATCAGAAATTCACAGTATGTACTAAGTCAACATAGTAAATACAATTATCTTAGAAATAATAGAGAAAGAGAAGGAAATGAGAAGCAAGGAGAAGAGGAGAGAAATGGTTACCTAGTATGGGCCAGGGACAGGGTTGCTTCACTGTTGACCAGAGGCATGCAAGCCCTCATAGGTAACCATGTAGAAAGATATTGCACAAGATACATCTTAATATAAACAACATCAGCTTTAAAAAAAACATTCACATTAGCTATCAAATTACTGAATCAATGAGAATGATATGTAGATCTAGAGGTCTAGGCCCAAATTGTCTGTTTAGAGCTAAAAGAGCATTTCTCATTAAAAACCTTCTTGCTCCAAAAAATAAAATTATAATCACAAATAAAACTAGGGTCTAGTGTCAGTGAGTAGATCTAGACCCTAGGCCTTGTGGTCTAGATCTAGTCTCTAGATCATGAGTCTAGTCTAGATCTAAATAATGGTCTAGATCTAGACCTGATACAAATACTGTCATTAGAATATCATGCTAGATCTAGTTGCTACCCTTCCAAAACTTTCTCATATTTTCTTTTTTACTTCTTTGTCTTTCATCTAGAATTTTAATAGTCTAGAAAAAAGTAGAATGAAGTTAGAACTTAGACTAGAGACTCTAGATCTAGATCTAATGTCACGAACATTACATTTTGATTACAATGTTCAAGTTATCAAGTTGGATCGGACTTGAAACTGAAAGTGAAACTAGGTCTAACAAGTTAGATCTAACTGTTGTTACAATGTTAGATCTAGTTTATTAAATTAGGGCCTAACAATAACATCTGAACATTGCAGTAGGCCTAGATCTAGACCCTAGGCCTAACATTTAACAAGTAGTCTAGATCTAACAGTAGGCCTACTAAAACAGTAACAGTATAGGCCTAACTTAGATAGACTTTCTAAGTTAGTCTAACTGTAGTGTTAGAGACTCTACTCTAGACCTAAGTTAGATCTAGATTTTTTGTTGTTAGAAATTCGTCAGGACTCAGGTGACGTAGGTCTAGATCTAGTAAATCTTACATTGTTACATGATGATTTTTGTAATACAAATGAAATATTAGGATATAGACTAGACCTAGACCCTAGACTAATAATACGAATATTCCCTCACACAGTCACACTCACATTCAGTGAAACTTTTTCTCGGCAAGGCAAGTCATTCTATCAATAAACCATGGACTCGGCTAGCTAGGCTAAGGCAAGGGCTCACGCCGGCGGAAAGTTCAGGGAACAGGAAGATCAGTCGCGGCTCGATCTAGCCTCAGGAGTCAGGCTCCAATTCGACTCTCGCTTGTCTTTTAGTCAATCTCAATGGGTTCACATCTTAGTTTGATAGTCCTTGCAATATCCTAGGCTTGGCCTTGATTATGTTGATAATTCGGTTAACTCGAGGTCAAGATGAATTTGATAACAATTTGTAAAGACCTTCTTCAGAGACGAGTCAGTTTTTGATGAGATTTTTAAGTCTTCGCGATATCATACCGATCGATTGATATATCGATTTTTCAGCAGCGCGCATGCGCGCAATTCATGGAGAAAGTAGGTCAAATTCTGACTTACAAACACAAAGTAGGTCAGGTACGTGACCTATCGAAATGGATCAAAGGTTACAAAAGACGACCCCACGTCGATCTGAATTAGGAATTGGAAGTGCCAAAATTACCACTCCTAAAATATCATGACTTTCTGCATCTTGCGTCATCGTGCCGAGAGCCCTCCCCCTCCTCCCTGTCAATATCTCTCTCCCAATAATCTCCTCCCCTCACTCGATCATTGTCTCCCTCTCTTCCCCTCCAGCTCTGGCACCCCCCCCCCCCCCCCCTCTCTCTCTCTCTCTCTCTCTCTTTTCTCTCTTCTCTCTCTCTCTCTTTCTCTCTCTCTCTCCTATCGCTATCCCGCTTTCTCTCCAGACATACACTTTCCAATACATATAAACTGTTGAGTATAATTTATGTTGCAAATACATTTAATAGCAATTCACCGTAGTACATTTTATTTCACATTTGCAAGCACCTAGACTACATGTATAAAACATTTTAGTCATACGGAACTAATTGAGCCGACTTGTACATGTATAACATCTACATTGTGTTAAATATACATTAAATGTTTAATGTCACTATATTTAGGCATATACATATACTCAGAAAAAAGCATGTTTCATTTCCTATCTTATTCATAGATTTTCTAGCTTGAGATTTCAACCCGCAGAGTGATTAAGGTCATTGTAAAAAAAGTGCATCATTGGTATGGATTCAGTGAATCACTAATCAGATGACAAAACATTCAATAAATTCGCCATAGCTAGGATTATTTTCCCAAGTGCTACATAAAATGTTAATCTCCTTGAACAAGGTCTGTACTTCTAACAGAAGTTAAACAACGCGGCACATGATGAATAAAGCTAATATAATGACTGTACAGTTTTAAAGCCAAGCTGTAAAACAAGCACTACCGCAAAATTCCCTCGAGCGCCATCTCAGGTCATCTCGCTGCTTGTTCCCGAGCTGAGATTTTGATGCGAAGGACGGGTTTGGGCTTACGCACTGCATGCATTCTTGGCAAGTTGAGTTGACCATGAGAATGAGATTGCGCTGTGCTATGAACCGCATGCTAAGGCAGAAAGTACACCATTTCAGTATTGCTTTAGAATCGATAATCAAACTAATATAAAAAGTAAATTTATTATTCCAGTCGCTATAGATTCAACACTAATAGTACTGTATTATAAGTATTAATCAAATCGACATAAAAAAAAAACCTAAATTTCAGAAAACTGGCATATAAAATCATTTTAACATACTGGCGTACGCCAAAATATTATTGGGCCCATACACAATTTAAAATATCAAGATTAAAAGACTCCCTCTAAATAAAACTCGATTATTCAAATTTAATCATTTTTACATCTCATCGACATAGATGAATATATGAATAAGATAAACTGCTTTTAAAAAACTACAATCATATGAATAGTACTGTTCAGTATATAATGTCAGATAAATGGTCAAAAATAATAGCAATTTTACAATATATATTCGAGCCAACATAGTTTCCTTTCCCATGAGCTAACCCAAAATAAGCTTTTCAGAACTTTTCCTTAGTTTTAGTCAGCTATACATGTTCGTCCTATTCATTACATGCACCTGTTGGTTTTTGTTTTAGTTCTTTCAACTGACACTATATTAAATATTTTTAAAGAGATGTAATTAATAATAATAATAATAATAATAATATTCATTTGTAAAGCGCAATAACTATGTGGATATATTCTATTGCGCTGCAAGAGCTCGTAAATGCTGTGCTATACATACTATATGAACAAGTGAGTTTTCAGTTTTGATTTAAAATTATCTAGTGATGGGGCTTTTCTTATTTCTGAAAAAGAAAATGAGAACGAGGCTCTTGAAATCTGCATATGTGAAATGATGAGGGTCGTTTGAACGGATATTGCAAAGTAATCGTTTACATTATTACTCATGTTATATGAATTACGAAGAAGAGCATAATAATTTCAGCCTAAAATAAACATAATATATAGTTACACGTTTATATACAAGCAATATTTTAATTTAGACGCCTGAGCTTTTTTCTTTCTAATACAGATGACCGCTTACCGAAACCAGCATTCTAAATGACTATTGGTATATCAACATCAATGGGCCAGATAGTTCTGAAGATCAGTAAGTTTGTCAAAGTAATATAGGCTACTCTAAGAAATAAAAAGAAATTTTAAAATGTTATAAAATTCAACTTTCCGTTGGATTTTACGGCACCGCAATACTCTCCTTTTGTAAACCCAAAACAGTATCTATCTTATTCTTCTATGTTGTTTTTTTCCTTGGGGTCAAAACGATTTCCATGTATGAAATCCTCCCCTCCCCCTACATATTTAGCCCCCTCCGTCATCCCCTCCCCCCCCCCCCCCAAAAAAAAAAGAGTGATCGAAACAAGAATCTTTTGTTGGCGTCCATTGACATGCAATCATGCTTGTTTGCTGCATAAAATGCAGTGGATTGATTTTTCGAAATTGTTTGCAATTGTGTTATAGGTATAGTTTCATTGAAGGGGTAATAATCCTAACAAGGGATGCTCATCAACCTCAAGAAAAAATGATCTAGCAGCTTAGCCCGATGTAATTGACACAGCATCGTTGATTCCACTGCTACTCAGCCCCCCCCCCCCCCCCCACCCTCCCCTTAAGAAATGATCTAGCGGGGTAGCTTGATGTAGTTGGCACACCAGTCGTGAAGAGCTTGTGAACACTCTGTAGCATTAGCCTCATTGATTCCCATGTCACACATCCATTCAATAAACCCTTTCTTCCCCAGGTCCAAGAACACTTCACGAAGACCGGTCGACTGAAATTTAAGCAAGAAGAAAGAAAAGGGCGGTAAATTATAATGTTAAATGTTGAAAAAAGATATAGTGGCAGCGAAAAGAAAAGTAAAATTTGTATGAAACTTGATGATGATGATGATGATGATGATTATGATGTTGATGATGATAATAATAATAATAATAACAATAATGATAATAATAATTATTATACATTCGATAAGAATGATGAGGATGTTGATAATGATATTAATAAAAGTCATAATAATCATAATAATCATAACAATAATAATAATAATAATAATACAGTCGAACCTGTCTACAGCAACCGCCCAAGTGAGACACAAAAAGTGATCTTTGTAGACAGGTTCCTTTAGTACATGTTTCAATGAGAAACCATTTTCAAGGGAAACAAAACATGTGCTTGTCGTATTGTCAGGTGGTCTTTGTAGACAGGTGGTCACTAAAGCAGGTTTGACTGTCCATGTTTAGATAATTCATGTCAGAAAGATAATGATGATGATGATCATGATTATGTTGATAACAATAACAACAACAATTTGGTTGTATTTACCCAGGATAGCATAGTTAGTTATAATTGTACTGGTCTTTCTGAGGGGTCTGCAATTCTTATCAACCCGGTAGTAAAAGGCACCCATTCAAAAAGATTTACCAATTAATACCTCTAAAGCTATTAAAAAAGCTCCAGTCAAGGTACTAAAGATGTTATCATATGATATTTTGAATGCAGTAACATTTCCAATGCTCCTTCCAAGATTTCCTGTATTTTAAACAGAGTTTTAGAATCTTGCAGAAGAAAAAAGAAAGAACTGGTTACAGTTGGAGGATAAAACCAAAGTGATAATCCATAATAAGTTAGCTTGCACTTTCGAGAAAATTTCATTTTAAGTGTTGTTGCTGATCGAAAAAGCTTTGATTCTGTCATTGAGGTTATTGTTACCAAACTCACATTACATCGATGATTCTGTTCATGGGAATAAATCTTAAAATATCAAATTAAACATTTCTAAGTAGCAATTCATCTGATCAGCAGTGAACCAATTTGATAGCCTATTTGTAAATCTTTCGAGAGGCAATGCTGGCATGACTATGTATTGATAATCACCTGTTGATGCTTAAAGTGCTATTGTAGCAATTGCACAATAACACAAAAGAAACAACAGAACATTGTGATTGCAGTGAAAACAGATTTGTCCAGCAGGGAATAAATTAACTCTGAATTAGGTTGTTCTTAGAAATGTTGTCAAAGCCGATAGAAAAGTATTGATGATTAATTTCATTTACACAAACTATTGTATCAAGAAAAACATATTCCCACGGTCTACATGACCTTATTACACTGTTATGCCCTCTCCCGATTCGATGTCAATATTTTCGCCTATTGGCTCCGATGCCCCAGATGTCTTGTCCAGTGGTAGCATTTTGTCCTGGGGATAGTTGTCCGGATCTAATAACATATGGGGTACTTTCTATAGCATGAAGTTGTCTCAATGGTCATTGTCATGGGCTTTAGTTGTCATATGAGGTGGCTATTCGGGGGTTGCAGTCAAACCTGTCTAAGGCCACCCAAGGGAAACACAAACATTGGCCACTGTATACAGTCTGGTGACGTGGCATTTCGAGACAGGTTCTTCAACATATTTACATTTCCTTTAAGAGGGAGACAATATGGGTGACCAATGTAGACAACACTATGAATATGACGGACAAAGAAAGAGGTCAAAATATACAGTTCCTCATTCTACCCTCAACAATTGCTGTGGTAGACAAAGGAACATCCCTTCACTGCTATTATGTAAAAATGTGTAGAACAGGTGAATATGCATGTGACACCCGTTCTACAATTTGTTTACATATTAGCAGTGAAGGGATGTTCCTTTGTCTACCACAGCAATATTGTTGAGGGTAGAATGAGGAAATGTATATTTTGTCCTCTTTCTTTGTCCGCCATATTCATAGTGCAAGTGGCCCTTATACTAGAGAGGTGGCCACTAAGATAGGTTTGACTCTAGCTGTCCAGTATATGATTCCAGTGAGAAATAGTCGAGGGGAGAATAGTCCTACTATCGCTCATTAGAAAAGTATCCTCCTCCTGATTTGATGTCGATGTAATCTTGGCATAGTTTTCACTTATCTGACTTTCATACCCCCAGACAACTATTTAGAGCAGTAACTAGCCCTGGCTAATTTGTCCTAGGGGTAGTTGTCCCTATCAAATTTTGTCCCTGGGTAGTTGTCATACTCCCTTCTTCTTGTTTAGTCCGGATTTAGCTGTCTCATGGGGTATTGTTATGAAATTTATTTGTCCTATCGAATAAAGTTGTCCAAAAGATTTGTTGTCCGGGAATAAAGTTCAGGGACCCGTTTCACAAAGGCTTTTTTTCAATGACAATTGACAAAAATCAGTGACAATGTTGTTGATAACCAATCAGAAGCAAGGATTTCAGTAGCTTATAACAAAACCGTCATTGTCACTGATGACAAGTTTTGTGAAAACGCTCCCCAGGGGTAATATTCAAGAGGGAAATAATCGTCCTACTATCACTGCTAAACATTCTTACCCTTCCGATCCGGTGGCGCTGTAGTAGTTTCGCCTCTTTGGCTCCGATGCCCGGGGTTTCGATCACGTGTCGGCCCATCATCGGCTCCACCACGAACGCCTCGTACTTCTGCTTGCGACGACGAACTGGACATCGATGACGGTGACGATTACGTGGATATTACAGGTAAAAGAAGGAGAAATAAACGTGAAACACTCCCACTCCTCAATTCTGTATCCACAAAATGGAGCTTATTAGTAACAAAGCGTTTACTGTTTTATTTATTTTAATGCTTAGGTCTACATATATAATTATGCATATATATTTTACGAACCCTTTTTAATTATGACAAGGATGCCAGTTCAAGCTTTACTTATGAAGACCCCTGTTTGTCCCGTGTATATGTGAACATAAAAAAATTAATATTATGTGAGGATGTATATGAAAATAAATAATGTTGTAATCTACTTACGCATTTCTTGGTTGGCTCTAGCTTTGTCCATTGTTTGAAAGATGCCCTTGAGGTTCTGCGGGCCATTGGGATCTGGAATGGAAGAAGGAAAACAAGTAACATAATGTAAGAGACGAGATTATAGAGATTCCCCTTAAAGGGAAAGTTCACCCTGATATTAATTTGGTTTTGATAGAAGCAGAACAAAAATAGAGAAATAGGTCGCTACAATTTTGAGCAAATACCGATTAAAATTAAGGAAATTTTGAATTTCTAAAGTGCGATCAATCAAACACAAATTGGCAACTCTGTGACGTATATTGCGAGGTCCCCTCCCATTTGCCAAATACTAAAAATCTTCAAAAGTCGATATTTTCTTAAGAAAATGTTTAATAATACATTCTCCCTTGATTTAATTATTGCAAATATGTTTTTGTTTGTTATGCAACCCCTGTATAAAACAAAACTATTCCGTCATCAATAACTATGAAAATGGAAAGTTATGAACTTTTTCTGTGAAGAGCAAATTGGAGAGGAGCTCGCAGGATATGTGACAGTGTTGCCAATTTGTGTTTCACTGGTGACAACTTCAACAATTCATAAATCTCATAGTTTTAATCGCTCAAACTTTCAGTTATTTGTTTCTTTCATTTTTCTAAATTTATTAAAACTAACTTGGTATCAGGGTTGACTTCTTCTTTAAAAGACAAAGATAAGAAACAAAGATAACAAACAAATAAAGACACAAATCTGGTTGAAGAGGCATACAGTGATGTCGCTAGATTGGGATGTGGGGTGTGGCACGCTCACAATTTGTATTTTTGTTACATATGACAAAAATAATTATTCTTTTTTTTCTTCTTCTGATTGCTTTTTTACAATTTCATCCGAGCACTATCCCCTTTCACTCAGAATAGAAGAGCGTTGTTCCTGCTTGAATATTGGAATACGGGAGTATTTGCAATCATATACTGATCTCAATGAGATAATTTTTATTTTAAGCAATGTAGCCTACATGATTACATTTAACCAACAAATTCTGCCGAAAGTAGCCCTATTTTTTTAATTCAAGGCTATTACGAAATCAACTACCGTCTTGGGCCTACAGCTCACAAGCTTAGCTTTCTTCATGCCCCCCCCCCCCCAACATTTTTTCACTCTTCGTTTTATAATAGTCCTTTTCACGTAATGGATTCAAACAAATCGATGAGGAACTCATTTTTTCTGGGTTAATGTGTGTATTTTTTCTATGTTAAAAGAGTTCATTTTTCTTATTCATTGCAAAATGTGAAAAATGATAATGTATAACTATAATGAAGTAAAAAACAATAAACTGACAAATGAAATCTCATCATGCTGATTTTTGTTTTGATTTGTTGATTTTTTTTTGGGGGGGGGATTTTTTAGTCACGTGTTCAGCACTACACAATATTGTATTCAACATAATCACAATCATCTTGGACCCCATAGAAGAACAGTGTTGTATGGCTTGACTGAACCGGATGTCCTTCCGACTTCATTATACTTGGTATACTTACTTGTATACTTACTTGGTTACTTGCTTGGTATACTTTCTCATTTACGTTGTATATTATGTTTGTTTTAAATGGCTATTTATATTATGTTGTAAATGTTCTGTATATATATCATGTTTTAATTGTGAATTCGGAGAATAAATAAATCAAATCAAATCAAATTCTCGTAACTTACCGTTCATTGATCGTACGAAGGAGCTCGGATGATTCCGACTACCGTACACGTGACCATTGACCGCTATGGTTGGGCGTCTCGCTGGTCGTGTACCGTTTCTATCCAAATGGCCATAATAGTCAGCGGCCTCCATAACGCCCTGTTCCATGGGCATCATCGCCATCGTCTAGAACGAGAGCGTGATCGAAGACGACAACGACGAAAATCTGAAAGCTTTCAAATCAATTTGGTAACAAGAAATGGAATGGAATGTTAAAAACTCAGTGGAATCTATAGAACATTTATTTTACAATTAAAAAATGATTTGATTTCTCATGCAAAACATAATACAATGAATAAGTATATCACAAAAGTATACAATGAAACAACAAATATAATAGAAATAGCACGAGAAAATAGGAACTAACTAGAAACAGAGCTTGTTACGTATTAGTTCCTCTGGTGCTGGTTGACAATATATCTTGAACAAAGTATACTTGGAAAATGAATAGATTTTATTTGTGCGCCATTCTGAGAATATAATTTCATAGTTCAGAAACGATGAATGCTTGATTGATTTGGTTGCTTTGTATTCATATTACATGCAAAAATAACACAGCATTATACATTTTACAAAACATTGTAAGAAAAAATGTTCTGTAAATCATTAAATGAAAAGTGAACCTCTTGTAATGTAGGCTTTTAAATGTACGTAGGTTCATTGTATTAACTTCTGATTTATTATATAAGTAGAATAACCCGGATACACATACACCGAGACAAAAGAGAAATGAAACTAAATACAACATGTTACGGTTAAAATTGGAGAGAGAGAAATAGAAGAGGGGAGAGGGGAAAGGATAGATAGATGGGTAGGTATAGATAGATATATAGATAGCTAGGTGGGTTGATGGAGAGAGAGAGAGAGAGAGAGAGAGAGAGAGAGAGAGAGAGAGAGAGAGTGTGAAAGAGAGGGAGATTAAAATATGAAAAACGTTTTATTTTATTTTGGTGATGATATTAGCTCCCCCCCCCCCCCCCCCCCAAGGCCTCTTAATGGGAAGGGCGTTTGCAGACTCAACCCTGTGTATTCAATTTTAATTTGTGCGCGTGCACGGCTAACAAATCAAGCTACTAGGCCTTCTCCGTTTCAAATTATTTGGATCTGGTAAACATGATAAATTAATAATCCAAATGTGATTTTTTATTCCCTTGCTGTTAATTCTTCAAAAAAATATACTATTACACTAGTATATAAGCTACACTTATCATGCTGTTAACCATAATACATGTAGATACAGGGGCGTAGACAACGGGGGGGATGAGGGGGATGCATCCCCCCCCCCCCCCCACCTCACAAGGTGGAGGGGATGGCATGTACAATCATCCCCCCCAGGTTTTGGGGAATGATATTTGCTTACTTAATAAGTCATAATGATGATAATAATAGTAATAATAATAATGATAACAATTATAATATTAATAATAATAATAATTATGACGATGATAATAATAATCCTCATCATTATTGTAATTGTGTTTATTGTTATTAGCCGCATTCACATGGTGAAAGCCAATTCAGACGGTAAAAAGTATTTTGTGGTTATCTTAAGATAACCACAAGATTAAACAGGCGCGGACCTACGGGGGGGGGGGGTTTAGGGGGTTTAACCCCCCCCCCCCCCCTTGGGCGGCCCAAAAAACAAACAAAACAAAAAAGGAAAAAAAAGAAGAAAAAAAAAGAAAAAAAGAAAGAAAAAAGAACGCACGCTGGAGAGAAACCCTTTCAAGTGCAAATATTGTGAGAAGATATTCAACTCATCTGGTAACTTAACCAAACACATGATAACTCTGGATATAACTGTGTATTTAACTGTTACTTGATTTAAAAAGACGTTATCATGCACTGCTTTTTATGGTCTCCATTGTGTTAATAGATGCCAGGAAAACATCACTTACGGGGTTCAAATAAACACCCCAAAAAAAATCGGCTCGCCGCTTCGCGGCTCGTGGACGATGCTCCGCATCGTCATTATTTTGGTCACCCCCCCCCCCTTAGCAAAAAGCTAGATCCGCCCCTGAGTCATCCCCCCCAGGTGTACGAACCTGTCTACGCCACTGTGTAGATATATCAAAGCTCCATATAAAAAAAACCCACACAGAAATAAGGATCGAAGATAATCATAAACAACAGTCATTTACCTGTCAAATTTTACTCGCCTCTCCGTATATATCCGTATAGCACAACACCAGTAATATGTCTTTTATAGTTCCAATCGCTCTTGCTTGAAACTTGATGGAAAAGTATCTCTAAACCTTCCGAAAACTATACTGCGGTTAAAATCTACATCAATATGCAATGGTGCACTGTAGACTGAGTATCGCCCTACAATATTCCCACACTGTATGCCGTTGGTAAAGAATATCGTGTTGACGGACTCGCTTTATTTGTATCGTTTAGTCATTGTCATTGAACTACACCCAAAACCAAACCCAACTATGCGACGAGAGAGAGAGAGAGAGAGAGAGAGAGAGAGAGAGGGAGAGAGAAAAGAAAAATCATATTCATGTTTATCAATCTTTCTTTCATAGAATATAGTTATTGTATTTTCGCGCTCAGTCGGTCGCCGGCTCCTGACGTCACAATAGAAACCTCATGCCTAGTTGCTTTCAAGAATGCCACACGTTACACTGATACAGGGTGTGTCAAAAGTAAAGTCAATATTATGCGAGTAGTATTCTGGGGTCGAGGCATTTATCCCCTGGCTAGATTAGGCTATATCATAATGATAACTTATCAAACTATTTATGAATGTATACAAAATTATTAAAAATTAATTTTTATTAGACAATGCAAAGTCAAACAAATTTCACCAACTACATTGTATAACAAATCATACAACCAGTTAATACAGTAAAAGAATTTAATGGTGTAAAAGTGACTATATCATTTGCATTTATTTCACTATGGTAGATATCGGAACCATACAGTCTTATTCAGGTTTCTCTGACGGCGTAGGGGGCATAGAGCTGTAAAAGAACTGGCAATACCAAAACAAAAATCAAATCACAACAAACAAACAAAAAGCGGTCAATGCCCTTTTTTCTTCACTACAGATTATTTTTAAACTCAGGATCCGCCACTGAAAGAAAATAAGATATTGCCAGATGTATAAAAACCTGAAACATGCTTTGCGTAAAATGAATGATGATCCTATACGCAATCTAAATATCTTATCAGTCCATCAGCCCATATCATAAACTCATCCCGCATCAGTTACACATTATTTTTTTATGAGACGCCTTGTATTTGCTCGTCACCCTAGTCTAAAAGTCCAAGGGCCAAGACTTTTTAGATGAAATTAAGCAAGTAGAATATGAATATGATTGTTAATGTGAAGGCTCATCCGCAATGTTTAAAAATGCAATTCATGCTGTGTTCTGTTAAAGAATAATATAGTTTATTGAAGTTGTACAGACAAACAAAATAATCATAGAGTCAAACATATTTTGGATCTGATGCTTAAAGATTTACAGCTTAACGATTTACAAAAGAAGTATAGATAAGAAGACTAATATTTTTGCCTTATGTTTTAATAAATCAAGGTTGCGATGCCATAAAAGTGTCAATGTGCGAAAGACCCGCAATTTTTTAGGTCAAGTTTTGATAACACTGATCTTTTTTTTTTATAGAAAGCAGGGAACTAATATAACAGATGATTTCTGTGGGTACATTTATCACAAATATGATTATTTATAATCATCCTACATCAACTTTAGGGGTCTACGATTTCAAACGTGAATACGAGGGTTCGATCCCATCGTACCCAGTGGAGACCAGTTTTGGAATCGCCCCCTCTCAAAATATGAAATGGAACCACTTATTACCAATCATGTTAAAAAATATGATTTGACTATTAATACGTGCATATAAATTTTGCCGGGAAACCGCCTACTAATTGATATATTTGGTAACTTATTATATCTATCCGGATTGGATAGATATAGGGTAGTCCCATATACATCTTTCTGTGTACAGTGCTTGTAACTTTACCAAGACTGGGCTAAATTTCTTATCATTTGGATGATTCCAGAACCTTGCAGTACACACCAATACTTATGTGCTATAGATGATAAACCTTTTCTTTTCGATTTCACAACGTTTCTTTCACAATGAAACCGCATGAACAAAACTGGTCTATACCTTTAAGACAGGCCTCAAAACCCCCTTTTCTTTCTTCAAGCAAATGCGTAGTCCATTATTATTGGAGGAACAAGCGCCTTTGAGTGTTTGAAACAGATAAATGGTGCCATACAAGTGCTGTGTATTATCATCATCATCAACATGACAATGTCAAAGATTTACCATATTGATAAAATCATACAAACAATCATGATAATGAAACTGTAAATGCTAAAAAAATGTAACATAAAATGTATACCATGCATATGTAACTCTATTGTTAGATAATATTATGTCAGTACAGGATGAACATGCCTTGGATGATTATGATTATGATAATTCAGTCCCCCCCCCCCCCCCGTACAAACACACCCCTCCCCTAGAACTTTTATCAGGCCCATGGCACAACACTCAATATTTTTCACCTGAGCGAAATTAGTTCACGCCCTCTAACGCTGACCTTGATTATAGCAATAAGGAGTTGTCCTTCTCCACTGATCTCTACGGAAAAATCTCTTCTCTACTGATCTCTACGGATTTTTCCGTAGAGATCAGTGAGATCAGTGTCCTTCTCCCACCTCCACCCTCGCTCTCAGCTGCGTTTTTTTTTTTTTTTTTTTGGGGGGGGGGGTCGGGGGAGGGGGGTCTTTTTTTTTTTTTTTTCCTTTTACTTTTCTGATTTTGTTTTCTAAACATATTTGTCAACACACCTGAAGATAAATCAAATGCAAGTATACATCTTTTATATTTAAACATACTTTTGTTTATATATTTTGTTTCTAGTTATTATCAAGTAGTTTTTTAATGGAAATACATTTAAGAACTACATTATTCATACCCTTTGTAGATTTGACGTTTCTTGTGTTTGTTGTTACTCAAGAATGAAAGGTGGAGTGGTTGAGTTTATGGCCTTTGTTGAGTGCTCTTAGATGTAAGATGTAAGTCATATTGTCGAGAAACATCAATGTGGATAATCGATTTTAACATACTTGAAAAATTACAAATTTTGGTAAGGATATGACATATTTATTCGTTAACTATGACAAAATATAAAATCAATACCCGATGATCTTATGCACCAACCACACGATAGTACTAGTGGAGGGGCATTGATATAGTTACGACCCCCTCCAATATTCCCCTTTGATCAAGGGCCTGCATGCCCCCCCCCCTAAGGTCCCATGCCACCAATGCTCACCTTATGTCCCATTCTACTCCAATATTTTGGAGTAGAATGTTTCGGACTGTCATATTTTAAATTAATTCGCTTTCAACGACAATCCTTCATCCGCAATTAATTTGTTTAAAGTTTGATGAAACATGATAATTTAACGATTTTTGTATTCTTACTTTTTTTTAAATTGTAATATAATGTATGCTTATTCATGATTCATTGTCAGAAAGTACTTTTTGATAACTTATGTTTGGTATTACCTAAATTGTTTTTTCTTTAAATATAGAATGCAGAAGAAAATAAATAAACTTAATTCAAATCAGATAATATGTAGTAGTGGTCCGATCTAGAATAGCAATAATTTTGTTCGATTTACCCGGGGTTGGCAATCAGTATTCGAACTGTACTTCATGAAGGTCGTATAGTTATTATTACTCCAGTATTGCCACTTGCCAGGCACCCATTTAATACATTTGGGTCGATAGGGATAAATGTGGGCAAAACACCTTTTCCAAGGTATGCAAGCAACGAACTAGAATCATCTACCTATTTTAATTCGTAAGTAGAACATTCTACAACATAACATGCGTTTCATCATTTCATTGAACCAGGAATGGGGCAAAACAAGGGTGGGTCAGATAGTATCAGCAACCAGCTTTTAAATTAATGAGGTATCATTTTTATTTAGAGTTCTTGTTTATGGCGTATCATGGGTCCAGGTTTTTGAGGGTTAATTGGGTCATCATGGCGGGGGCACCGATCTTACTCGGTGGATAAAATTCGAGAGAAGTGTGTCATCATGGAAGATGGGGAGGGAGCGGGAGTGTCGGAGGGGTCGTCATTATTCAATTTCTCTTCATGTTCCCTTCCCTTCCCCTTCTCGTTCTCTCGCTCCCCAGCTCTATCTCCCTCTCTCCCTCTCTCTCTCTCTTTCTCTCCCTCTCTCTCTCTCCCTCCCTCCCTCCCCCCTCCCAAACACATGACTCACAATCACGCACACCCCTTTTCCCCGTGATCTTTTTGTACACGCACAAAAACGCACAAACACACTCACAAACATTTTCTGTCTCTCTCTCTCTCCCCTCCTTTTCTCTTTCCCTTTCACTATTCGATCGGGAAGATGTGCCCATGCCCCCACTACCCCCCCCCCCCCCCCCTCCCCCGTGCCGGTACGGCTTCGCCCGCTCTTTCTCGTCACCATTCTACAACGACGATCTGCGATGAGACACAATAAAACGGGGGATGATGTAGTGTATGACACAAAGTCATAAGGGCGATAATGCTTGCCGTATTTGCATGTGAAAGAGCACGGGGTGAAAAACGCGGGAAAGAATCAATGAAAAACACCTGGCGCGCTGTGTGCAGGTGAATTTGCAGAGCGCATGCGCAAATGCAGTGTTCCATCTCCCTCTTTCTCTCTCCTTCTCTCTCTCTCTCTCTCTCCTCCTTTCTTTCTCTCTCTTTCTTTACGTTATGTTTGTATATTTCACCTCCATCTCTCTTATATACTTCCTTCCTTTTCTCTGTCTCCAGCACAATCTCCCTCGTTTATCTTTTCCCCTCTCTTCCGTTTTCGTAGGATCTACCCTCTCGCTTTTTCTTCTGTGTCTCTCTCATTTGGGTCTCTCTATCTCTTTCTCTCTCTCTCTCTCTCTCTCTCTCTCTCTCTCTCACACACACGCACGCACACACAATCACACACACACACACACACCTGCACGCACAAAATCTCAATCACTTTCTCTTTGTCTTTGGCTCTCTACTGTCCTCTCTCTTTATTCTATTCTCTCGATTGTTTTGTTTTCTCCCTCTTTCCCCCTTTATCTCTCCCACTCTAATTTGCACCCCATTTTTTGTTTGTCTCTTGAATGAAATATTAAATGAATGATTAAGTGGAATCTGCTAAATATAGATGTTTGTAGATCGTCGTTGATGATGATTCATAACATCAGCTCTATATAGCCCAGCCATCTTTTGTTTTGTCTGAAAAGATAACATTTTATGTCATATTTTTGCTTTCCTTCACAAAGAAGTCATTTCAATGGATTCTAAGGAGCAGGTGCTGTTACATCTATAGAAGATGAGAAGCTGTCCAGAGCGAAACTTCAGGAATGTTCAAGAACGAAATAGATCATCTTTAAATACAAATTTCACCATGTAATACATACAGGTAACAACTAGATTATTCATATCCCTTGTAAATGTTATGTTTTTTTGTTTTTCATAACTAAAAATGAAACTGAAAGGTGGACTGGTTGAATTAGGGCCCTTCTTTTGATGTAAGCTTTAATATGTCACAGTCTCAAGAAACATAAATCGGAACAAATAAATTCTTCACATTGGCCCCCTACTTTTAAAATAAAATCACAAAACTTGGTAAGGGTATAAATATGAATAATTGAGTTGTTAACTGTAGGCCTACAATTCATCAGCGTTACATTCTTACTTATAATCCCGTGTAAGAACCCGGTAGAAGTAGAAGACGAAGGAGGAGAAGAAGAAGAAGAAGAAGAAGAAGAAGAAGAAGAAGAAGAAGAAGAAGAAGAAGAAGAAAAGAAGAAGAAGAAGAAGAAGAAGAAGAAGAAGAAGAAGAAGAAGAAGAAGAAGTAGAAGGAGAAGGAGGAGAAGAAAAAACAAGAAGAAGAAAAACTGAGAAAAGTTGTCGGTGAGCCCATTAGACCAACAATGTCAGTTTCGAGTTCCACCAGTGTCATTAGTCGTAAGTCTCATGGTTTGTTGCCGTTGTAATTTTTTTAAGATTTTAGAGATAACAATTTTTTTAATATGTCCCTTTTCAGGAGAAATGTCTACTATGATATAGGCCTTCAATGTATATGACTTCAACAGGGTTAAACACGCTGTATGTACGATAAACATTATATGCCCCGTGCATTTAACGACTTAATTTTCGGACGGGGCGAAATTTGTCGCTTTTCACACGACTCGAAATTGCATTTTGCGCTTTTTAATGATAATTATAGTCTTGATGATGGCTTGGTGAACTTGACTTTTGGTTAAAAGTCATGATCATATTTTGAGAGGTTAGTTAGAAAGGCGTCAGTGCGTAACAATGGTTTCTGCGATCATCGTGTAGAAAGGAGCAAACGCCGAGGAAAGCGACACAACTAGGATGAATACCTTACACATTTCCTGTCCTGTATATTCTAGGCCATATGTGTTGTGGTCGAGTGAATATGTCACCGGACTGTCGATCACAAGGTTCTCGGTTCGAGTCCAGCCGCGGCACTAATGTCCTTTGGCAAGACATTGATCTACACTTGCCACACTCAACCCAGGTGAGGTAAATGGGTACCTGGTAGGATTATTCCTTGAAATGCACTGTGCACTGATAAGGCTGCCGGAGCTAAAACTAGGGTAATAAAGTCCAAAGCTCTTTGGAAGCGCATAGAGATGTTATTTCATAACGTATTATGCGCTATATACAAGAACTGAACTATTATTATTATTTAAAATATTCAGTGCAAGTTTGATGTGCTTATCATTTGCAAAGACTGCACATGTCTGTCATTTATATACTTTTGTTGGCATAATTTTTGTTTAAAATCAAATAATAATTTGCCAAAACATAACCAGATGTGAAAATAAAAACCCTTCAAGATTAACAAGATTTTGTTGGTGTTTATCCTAATGAAACTTCTCATACTAGAGCAGTTAATACAGAGGTAAATTTACACCGGGTTCAAATGAAAAATTGCCCTATTTCGAAGGAGGGTCGATTTATTTTAAATCGAGGTGACATGACTTGTGAGGGCCTTAATGTAAAGGCAGCACCTAAGCGGGGGGGGGGGGGGTTCTAAGGGAACTATTTGTTAAAAATCTAACCTTTAGTTTCTACTTGCTGTGCACAGCCATCTGAGCAATTGTGGATGGGCTTGCTTGCTTGTCAGATCTTTATGGAATAAGCCAGTTCACGGTTGCAGTCTGTCTGAGCATGAGCAGATAAAGATCATTGCAGACCAAATTTTGAAATACACGGAGACAAAATACTGGATACGTGCTCATGAAAGTTATGTAATAATTATTCATTGATGCACAAGCAGTGCACTCCGTGATACACAGGGGGAAGTATTTTTTGAAAAGGGGGTAAATGGCTATTAATGTAGCACTTCCATCGCTGTAGGAGTGATTATTTCAAAATGTGCAAAGTGTGATCTCTTCATGTTTTAAAGATCTTTGGATATTCCGGCTCATTTGGGACATGTGCTAACCGTGAACTGGTTTATTGTACGCCCCCACCCCCGGTAACACGGCAACCTGGATCCACCCCTGACTCACACTGGTAATTTCTCCAAGACTGTAAGCTGACGACAATGCACGATTTTATGTCATCTAGGCTAAAATGATTAATACGCCGACGTCAGACAACACATTGAACGAATGAAGAAATAACTTGCAGCAGAAGTCGGTCAAGTCCCACACGTGTGTTTTCAAGGTTGCTAAGAAGGATACATGCGTCTTTGATCTTAAGTTTAGAGCGTCTTGATTAATGACCGACGTACTAGATGCATCGGAATTTATGTCTATTCACCCCAACCCCTTTTGGTAAATTTAGATGTTAACTAAATGTTAGGGTGATACTATTGTTAAGGTTTGTCTATGTACGTGTTTGTATTTAAATAATATATATATATATCAGAAGCATCATCCTTTGGAATGGAGCAAGAATTTCGCTTACTTTATCTCAAAACGCTCCTCTATTTGACTCAATCGGGATGTGTAATGGCATTGAGAAAACTTGCGCTTAGACCAATCTAAATGAAAATAGAGGGCCCCGGAAAAAGCTTATCATGATAATAAATGTTGTTTAATTTCACTGTTAAGATATGATTTATTGATAAAAAAAAATCTGTTTATATATTAAGTCTTAAAATCAAAATAACAAAACATAAGCAAACTTTTCCTTGAAAACAAAATCGGGATGAACGTTAATTAGTTATACAGTGAGGCAAAAGTATGATTCATATAAATCCGCATTTAATTTTCGAGTTCATGACACTTTCATGAACATTATGATATGGTCATGAATCGCCCTCGTTTTTCACTTCGCTGAGAAACATCATCTCATGCAGCGTTAAGCCTTGTAAGAAGTGAAAACATGCCCCAGCGAAACACCCCCAGCAAAGGGACAGGTGCGTGCCGTGTTGCAAGCCGTTGCTATGGTAACTCGAGTATTGACCAATCACAGAGCAGGATGACGAAGGAGCGATGCAGGCTTTCGTAGCTCGCCGGCCGCCATCTTGGATCCAAGTACGTCTACCGAAGATATTTGGTAAATAAACTTTTAACGGTATTTTTTTTCTCGACTGGAGTTTGTTTTTGCGTAATTGCCAAGGGAATTGGAATATTACGGAAATATTTATACATATGCAGCCATTGTTTGACGTTGTAATTAAAGGAAACTATATATCTCTGTGGAATAACATTGAAGTGCCAATATCTTTGAGGATTTATACAAGAAAAACACAAAGAGATTGAAGTGATATGTGATGGAAATTGCCTGAACTTCGATCGCTTGTTTTTCCATCAACAACGGTTTCGCATTGATCTATCAGTTTTTAACGATCAACTTGTAATCCATTTTTGGGATATTATAATTGGATTTCTCCTGTATTTCTTGGATGGAATACTCATGATTAGATAAAACGTGTATCAAATGAGATAAAACGTGTATCAAACCATTTGTGTCAAATAAGTGGAGAACTTTATAGCTATCGTCTCAAAGTTGAGAAAGGACTCCTACTTCAAGTTTGATAGTATCTCCGTCTGCCTGTGTTTGATCTAAATTGACACTGCACATCGTTTTGTTTTGGAAAAGGAGATAAAGAGCTTCACAAGTTTAAAACACAAGGTCAAGGAGAAGAAAGGGGTCAAATGTCATTCCATTTCCGATAAAGTTGATTCCGAAAGCAAACATAAAAGTGCAAATGGTGACATAAAACATAACACATTATCGTGATTATCTGTCTCCCTATCCGCTAAACTGATTGTTATAATAACATCATTTGGTAAAATTTCTTAACGCAGTGGTACCAGCATATTATGAAAACAGAAGGTGACTTTTACATTTTCATGTTGTACTTTAAAATTCTCATCAAGGGTGTGTTTAAAATTTATGCAGATACGAAGTGGTGAAGTAAAACAAGGACCAGCAAGATATTTGTTTATATTTGTGTCAATTGTCAGCCTCGAATTTTATGACAATTGTTAAAAGAAACTGGTAATTAGATACTCTATATATCCTCTAATAGCCGTTCAAATAAAAGCCATTACGCCTTTGTATTTCAGACCGCCAATAGTTGCTGGTAGCGTATCAGTTCAAGTGCACTACCGGTTCGCTTAACAACGGTGTGTTGCTTCGCCAAAGTGGAACTTGCTTTTTGAAGATGGTTTGTGGTGGTGGTGATGTTCGCTAATTAAAAAGGAGCATAATAATGGATCATTGGACTGCAAATGTCGATTCTACTTGAATGTGTGACCGATTTTATATGATATTTAGAGGATCCTATTTCGATTTCTTATAACCGTGAAATGGTGTTCATATTTTTCGCATGATTTCGTGTAGGTTTATAATCACCATGTAAATTTGTATGAATTTTTGTCGTGGAGGTAGCCTTATTGGCGACCTATTAGCGTAATAGCCTTTAAATATAGAAATAACTTCTGTGGAGCAAATAAAGAAATAGCTTTTGAAAATTGATTCTGACGAAGAATGCATGTACCACTAGACAGAGTTATGGAGGAAGATGAGGATGGCGAGTCGGCGGTGGAGCGACTCGTCTCCATGCGGGCAGCCCAGGCGGCGCAGGACAACAAAGTCCGCATCAACGTCGGAGGCATCCGACACGAGACGTACAAATCGACCCTACGTAACATCCCCGATACCCGCCTTGCGTGGATGACTACGATCTCGACCTCGAGCACGACGGCGGATTACGATCCGATTACGTGCGAGTTCTTCTTCGACCGACACCCGACTATGTTCGAGGCGGTGTTGAACTACTATCGGACGGGGAAGCTTCACGCGCCGACCAACGTCTGCGGGCCGGCTTTCGAAGAGGAGCTCACTTTTTGGGGAATTGACGAGAAGCAGATTGAGCCATGCTGCTGGTCGCATTACACCCAGCACCGAGACGCGCAAGAAACACTGCACAAATTACAGGTAGGCTATTATAATAAGGAAAGTGTTAGTTTAATGTTAGATTGATTGTTAGTGTTAGAGTAAATGTTGTCATGCAGCACCATAGCGCACACGGAACATTTCCAAAGCGGCTGCAAAGAAGAGTAAAAGTGTTTAAGTTTGGTTTTGATTTGGGTGTCATTCAAATTGATGCACTCATCTGTTACAAAAGTGACCTGCACTCCCATAAATAATGCAAAAGAAACACTACAAACGCTACAGGTAAAGAAGGTTTAAGGGTAATGATTCGGTGTTAGTTTCAGTGTTAATATTATAACAAAGAAATAAACCCAGCACCATGATGGAGAAGAAACAAATAAACTGCTGGTAAAGGGTTAATTAAATACGATTTAGTTCGGTGATAGTATCCGTAATAATGTAGGCTATGCACTCACCTGTTTACGATAAACAAAGCAAAACAAAACGCAACCAGCACAACGACGAATATGAAACATCTAAACAACAACAGGTAAAGAGGAAATAGAGTTTCAGTGGTCGGTGTTTTTAGGAACCGTCTCTTTTCTTTGGGCGAAGAGGATGGGGCAGCCTAAGTAGTCTGCACAGAAATGAACTGATGCATTCCCTCATTGATCATTTGCGTGTCTTATCCCTTTCAATCATTTTGAGTAGATCAGCATCTAATGTGTACCTGTTAACGTTGTGCTTGTGTCAGAGGTTATGGGTTTTATGCTTCCATCTTTTTACACAATCCTGGGGGGTGTTTCACAAATATCCTAAGTCGAACTTAACTCTAAGTTGGACTAAACAATTATGGAGAGCCATTTGTAGCCTTAAAATAAAGTATATTCAAAAGCGAAAAATCAAGTATTTCAGACTTTTCATAAATTCCACATCAAGAACATGAAATCTCCCATGATATCACAAAATACGAATGATCTGAATCAACATTTTGCCTTTTAAAATAACTTTTACAAAATATATTTAAGGATGCTAACGGCAATCCATTACTGTTAAGTCCAACTTAGAGATAAGTTCAACTGAGGATCTTTGTGAAACACCCTCAGGATCCAGCTCAACGCTAATACATTTTTCTTTCCATATTATCCAGGGTGGTGGCTTCGAAAGCGAAGATGATGAGGAAGAGGACGTCGCCAGAATCTTTGGCATCGAGGAGGCGTGCGAGACGGAGAAGAACCAGTGGTACAGAAAATGGCAACCCAGGATATGGACCCTTTTAGAAGAACCCTATTCCTCACGCGCTGCTTTGGTAAGACAGAACTTTTGCTGCTGATGTTGTTGTTAATAGAAGTAATTTGTAAACATTTGTATTTGTTTTTTTTTACGTTTCCTGCCCTCAATGGACCATAGATCAGGTCAAGTCCTGGGCTTTTCTTATTATGTTCTCCATTGCTGTGTATGTCTTTCCCATCATGACTTGTCTCTGTTCATTTTTTCATTTTATTTTATTTCAACACGGATCACTTGCTTCAGCCAATGGCTGTAATTCTTCTGCAAGTCCGTAAGTTCCGTATCAAGAATCAATAAAGTGATGTACCAACAAGAAAAACCACGTTTGTATAGCGCAATATATAAGTTTTTAACGATTCACATTATAATGATTGGAACGAGCTCCCAACCATGATAGCTAAAAAAACAACTTTCTCAAGCTTTAAACAATAACATAAAGACATTTTGCTAACTAAATTATCCCGACCCAAATGAGTACTACCCCAATCATTGGATTCAATCGCCAATCCGAACATGACAGTGCACGCATTTCGCTCCCTGGCGCCATTTTACAAGCTTACACATGCCATCAGTTTCGTATCCTACCATTTACCCTATTCAACACCTGGGTGGAGAGTTGCAAATGTAGGTTAATGTCTCGCCAAAAGACATTGTTGTTGTTGTGAAGGGGTGAAGTTAAGAATTAATGAAACGTGGAGCAATTGTCGCAGGAGTATGTGTCATACAAACTATTGAAGTGATTGGAAGGCCATGGGCGCAACAGCAAGAATTCAATACGGTAATGTTAAATAGTACCATTGGACGATGACAGAGATGGATTTGCGTATTATTGTGTTAGAGAAGATGACGTCATCGACGTACGGCTCTACCTCGTTCAAATCAAAATGGCGTCGAAGTAAGCGAGGCACAATATTATTTTGTAAATTTTAAGCAAAAAGAGGAAACAAAACAAAATTTACATATTTTTTTTAAAGAGTTTAGAAGAAGAAAAAAAATATTATACGATTAATGAATAATTTATCCTATTAATGACTGATGACCGACCACAATTTCAACTCCTTTAAAACACCTGTTCAACTATACTTATTTGAGAGGCTGTCACTATTCTATAGCCATTAGCAGGTAATTGTACTCTCTATTTACTAGTCGGTCAACGTGTTACAATATGCCATGGTCATAATGGCCACTTCATGCTGAGTGTCTCTCAAGTGCTTACCGTTATCATAAGACACTGTTTCCCCTTGTCAACATGATGTCGCTTAGCACTGCACCCGTATTCAAACATCCAGTGTTCATTATAGAGGCGGTCTAGGATTAAAATTCGGCCCTGGCATTTTGATTCGCGGGCGAGCCTGGAAGGGGGGGGGGTAGAGGTTGCAGCCCTAAAAGTTTTGAAATTATACTCATATTTGGGCAAATGACACCTCATTTCGGGCACTATAGTGGTATATTTTGTTGTAATCGTGTTATATTTTTATGACGACGACATCACAATACGCTGTGACAAAAAAAAAATCACAATTTTGCTCGCAGGTTTAGAAATTAGAAAACTTATATTCGAACAAGAGAAAAAAAATCGCCCCCCCCCCCCCCCCCCCATTTCTGGTGAAATATTGTATCTATTCTTATTTCGATATAAATAAGGCTATAACAATAGATGAAAACAAGATAGAGACATGGAAAGATAAAACGATAGAGGGAGGGATCGAGAAAGAAAGAGAGAGAGAGAGAGAGATGACGAGTTTGTGACGTCATTGGAATGGTTTGTAATGTGTCCCGCAAGATTACAGGCTGGGTGAGAAATTGATATCTATGGCAACTATTTGTTTGACAATATTTGCATGAAAAACACACCACGTGTGAAAATGTAAGAAAGTAACGTAGTATAAAAGGAAGTAGTAGTGGTAATTACAATACTTCTACTACTAATAGTAATAATGATGGAAATAACCACATGAAATACACCAGAAACATCGAAATTAAAGTAGAACGCCTGAAATGGCTAATTTATTTGTAATAATCATGATTAATAATGGTTATCAGACGAAGATAGTTACACTCGATTTCAACAGCGTGTATATCGACCATGTTGATTTAACGGCGATGTAAAAGTGCAAAGCCTAATAACCTTTGGTCAGGGAGAGAGAGGGGGAGAGAGAGAGAGGGAGAGAGAGAGGGAGAGAGGGGGTAGAGAAAGATATTATATATAGAGAGAGGGAGAGAGAGAGAGAGAAAGAGAAAGGGATAAATAGAGAGAGGGGTTATAAAGAGAGGGGCTGGAGAGAGAGGGGGGTTGATGGAGAAAGAGAAAAACGGAGAGATAGAAAGGAGAAGAACTTAGAGAGAAAGGAGAAAAGGATCAGGGGGATATATATAGAGAGAGAGACAGAGACAGAAACAAAAATAGAGACAGAGACAGAGAGAGAGAGACAGAGACATAATTTATAAAGACTAAGAGTACCTATATAGAGAGAGACGAGAGAAAGTGTGAGAGAGAGAAAGAGAGGGAGAAATAAAGAGGAATGTGAGTGTCTTAGAAACAGAAAGTGAGAGAAAGATAGTAGGGGAAGGGAGATAGAGAAAAGAGAGAGAGGAATAGAGATGAATATATTGAGTGAAAGTAGACTGCATTCAATTCATTCAAACTCTTAATTGAAATTGCTCCTTGGATACCAAAATATGTACACAAGCCGCGTAAGGTGTGGGTTTTTCCCACGCTCTATCGGCCTCTTAGTCACGTTCTACGCCGGAACTCCGGCATAGTGTTTTACAACATGTTGTCGATTAAGAGCCAGTAGGCTTGTCGGGGGGCATGCACCTATCCAGGATATAGGACATGAGGCAGCTCTCCAATACCGGTTAAAGAGGAGGGAGGGGAGGGGGGCTTGTGGGACTCAGTCCTCCCCCTAAATCCTACATCCCCATATGCGTTCTTTGCTGTAAATTAAGTTAATCGAGGCAAAAGTAGAAAATAAATGCAAGAACCCAAAGGCCCCCAAGCCCCCCCCCCCGTATTTTTCTAGAATCGTTCATGTGGCACAATGTTCCAATATCCCAAAAATATTATTGATTATGTGTCTTTCTAAAAGGAACGAGTGACATCACTAGAATACTAAGACTGTTGTCCTTGAAAGTAAACCGTCATGATTAGAATTCAAAATTCATTTCACTATCTGATGCAGTACACTAGTAATATACAGCTCTTGTAGGCCAATAAATATCTTCATTACTTACAGCTCATTAAAACTACTTCTGAATAAATTCAAGGAGTCGAAGAACATAAAACAACGGCCATTAAGCGTACTCATCTTTACCAATGTCGTTAATAGGATATGAGGTTACCTTCATCAATAAACCATAATAAATCAGACGGGGTTATCTGACACATATAAGAGTCATTGCATCGAGAAAGGTAAAGACGAGAGACAGAGAGGGAGAGAGAGAGGGAGAGAGAGAGAGAAAGAGAGAGATAGAGTGTGTGTGTATGTGTGTGTGTGTGTAAGAGAGAGAGAGAGAGGGGGTAGGCAGAGAAAGATAGATCCATGTAGATAGAATAGATATATAGATAAATAAATAATAGGCCTATAGATAGATAGAGAGAGAAAGAGAGTAAGAGAGAGAGAGAGAGAGAGAAAGAAAGAGAGAGAGAGGGAGAGAGGGAGAAAGAAAGAGAGAGTAACATTAGATTGCCTTTAGATTTTAGCTGGTATAGTTCAGAGTGCATAATAAGGGAAATTGCATCTAAAAAGATTAGTGTGTGAGGCGGATCACCGTCGAAGCATTCGCAGTTCTAGAAGTTAGAAGATTTTTTTTTTGGGGGGGGGGCTGGGGATTTGGGGCTCTTGAATCTATTTTCTATATATCATACTATTTTCACAAATGTTGAAGTTTCCTGATTTTTACCCTCCATAAGATAATAACAAACCAAAATAACGAAATTCTGTTCCCTTCCCCTTCAATAGCCACTTTATATCTGAAGAAAAAGGAATGATAGAGTGCCATAAATATATTTTTATATCATTTTTCTAAGCAATAATATAAATACTTGCAATATCAAACGTCAACAATGTTATGAAAATAATATATTAATTTCTATTTTTTATGTTCGTATATTGTCTAAATGACTCTTTAAAAGTACTGCAATTTGTATTTTTTGATGTACATGTACATGTACTTTTTAATTCCTCTTTTACTTCTTTTCTTCATGTTTCTCCCCTTCGTTTTTCTGACTTCGTGTTATCTTCTGTTTTCTTGTTTTGCTGCCCAAACAATCTTACCATATTAACTATATATATATTTCGATATTGACAAATCAATTGTAACTGTATTTTATGTTTGAAATATGCAATGAGTCTTTTAATTGTACACATGACCTATTCAGCCATTGGGCTGCGACACATGTTTTTACTAAACCTTGAATTGAATTGAATTGATTTGAATGTAAGGTAATGTAATAGATGAATGGTTACATACGAGGTTAATTGGAGATAATAGCTACCAGTAATATACAGAGTACATAAATAATGCATGTTTGATTTTCACGAAACATAGCATGTTCTCAGAAATTGTACTCATATCATTACCAAAAATTACTGAATTCGATTGCAATAAATAAATAAATATTTGAACAAAGAAGTATATGTAAAAGATGATAATTATTATTAAAGCATTGACCCGTCGAAATGAAGTGTGTCAGCTTTATAAGTCATTTAAATATTGTATAAGCAGAGCAAAATAAACATGCGGTGAACATAATAGTGGTGTTTCATGGGGCGCAGGGGGCACCCACCTGAAAAGATGGATACATAGAAGGATAAAAGAATTAAGAAAACGGGGAAGAAACCAAGAGGAAAAGGACAAGGAGAATTTAAAGGCCATCTGCACTTGTTTGGCTGGGAGGGATTAGACCACCCAGGAGGTCACTGGCAGGTGGTTATCTCATCAACTCTGCTCTCAGTTAACCTAAGAAAAAAGAGGATCATGGGGACCAATGGTCACCGATTAAATAAGCATTGTTTTCTATAATTATAGAGGAAGCAAGTAGTTGCAAGTAGTACGATGGGCCTTTAAAAGAAAGGAGGACAAAACACGATACTAACTACTTTCAAAAATCGACTTGAAGCAATATCGATGGCATTGTCCTTCACCTTATGAAATTCGCGAACATTCCAAAAGGATACAGTCAAACCTGCTTTAGTGACCACCTGTCTACAACAAGCACATTTTTGTTTCCCTTGAAAATCGTTTCCCATTGAAACATGTACTAACGGAACCTGTTTTCAAAGACCACTTTTTTTTCCCTTGGGCGGTCGC